ACTGGTGGAACAGATTCCAATGGAAGGCCATAATAGTTGGCCCATCGAACTGCTTCATTCACATCTTTATACTCTACAAGACTTTCGATGAGTCGCTCTTGTAACCAGACATTAAACCCTATAGCAGACTTCAAAATATATGTTTTTATTTTTATTTTTATTTTATTAGCTTTGCCCCTAGTATGGGCAGGGACACCGCAACAGCGTGAGCCAATTACTGCGGACCCTGTACTCTCACACTCACTACCTCTACATTAAGTATTTTAGCACACAACAATCCTCACATGTTGATTTTTACTGAGCGTAAATGCTTCAAAACGTAGTGCCATTTACCGTTTCTTACATTACAGACTAACAGTACCAGATGTTTAGAGTCAGTGAAACAATATAGCTGTGAATACATAGGTACAAAAAATAGAGCAATAGTACACGGCAATATTTCTCTTCCGTTCTAATCTTCTTTCATCCGTATTATTTTCCATCTTTCTTTTGTCCATTTTATTCATTCACAATGCATGACTCCWATTTTCATTCTTTACTTATTGGTTATCTCTTGCATTTTTCTATTCACTTCCCTATATTCTACTTTTCATTTGTTATCATTTGATTCAATCTGCTTTTTCATTTTATCAAATTGCTGTTATCATGCWGTTACCTCTATCAGGTTGTCCCACTTCTTTGGTGGTGCATTTCTCTATCAAACAAAATGGAGCAATGTTTTCATGGTGACTAACTAATTACATCATAGACTATGCACTGATTTCAATATGCAAATGAATGGTAAAAAGCAGAATCAAAAGACCTGAGTCATTTGCCTTTTGGATTTGGATTTTATTATTCTTTTATGATCTAGAAATGGTGATTTGTACGATACATTCGAAACCAAAGGATAAGAATGGATTGTGAAATGATATTCACATCATTTTCCATGCAATCATGGAAAATCTAAAGCAAGAGTTGCATTGAATGAAGGCTGACCACGACCTTTTAGTGATCAAATCAATTAAATCAAATAACATCTCACCTCAGTATACTTCTTGTTGAGTAAGTATCTCAATCCACTTAGATTCTTTTCCTTAAATACATTTGGATAGTCCTCTAAAGAAGAATGCAGATTGGTTGATGCATGAAGCCTCAGCAATGCTGTAGTCCGACTACCTTTTCATCAATTAAAACACTTACCTCCATTTAGATGGAATTTCTTAATCAACCTTTCTCCAATTTTGACCAGAATTTTATTCTTTATTTTATTTTCTTTTGGTTTTGGGTAAATATTAGCAGAGCTAAGGCAATTCACAGTGTATTAGTAATTACAGAAGACAGTTTGTCCTCGAAAAATGCCTCTTAAACTTACTCTACTATTTGTTGTAGTTGCTCATCTTCCATGCCACACAAATCATCTATCATGCTGAGATAAGCTCTCTGATGCCACACAGAACTCATGATGTAACTGAAAGAGCACAGATCATTCTAGCCTCTTTTAGCAGCCTGTGTTGTCATGCAATGCYACTWCCRTGGGAGTARCGTTGCATGAGCTAACACAGGGGTGGCTGCTAAAGTAGGCTAAGATCATTCATGCTTAATATAATATTTGGACTTATGTATTATAATTCATATATCTTCAGTATATAGACTCCATCAGTCAATAGACAACGTGCAGCAATGCCATTTTGTACAGCGAAGYATGATGGGAGTTGTAGTCCTCATGCTTTTTCATGCCCACTGTARCAGTCCTTCTAAACTGCTTTTGCTTTTTCTTTGTAAAAATAGAATGTGTCATTTCTACAAAGGACACAGTCATATACCCATTTAAATGKTTTTAGACAGAGTTTTTGTGAGGGATGTCATTTTTGCAAGCCACATTATTTACATGTATAATAGGCAATATGGAGTGATGTCATTTTGCATAACAAAGCATATAATGTGAGATGAAKTCCACAGTAAGTCTTGATCCCATAATGCTTTCTTATATTATTAAAAAAGACCAAGTTTCTCAAAAAATATCACATGATGGCTTTGGATTTTTTCAACACACCTTTCAGCCAGCTGCAGCTTGTCAAGAATGAGAAGAGGAAGCAGCATCTATCAAAACAAAAGGTCATTTTACATTGTACATGTCATTAATTCTTATCTATTACGACTACATACAAGATAGAGTACATGTACAAACAAAAACTGTGCAACATAAATACCTATACCACTAAATACTGCTATGCTATTCTATTGTTTTCTATTGTTTAATTAACACTATTTTGTAGTAAATAGTGGAAAGTGTTGCACACATTTAATGTTTGTACTCTATATTATACATTTTCGACAAACCTCTGAGGGTTCAAATTGTGTCTGAAGGTTAAGCTTAGTAGCAAATGTTGCCGCTTCTTTATAYCTTCTCCCAGTGCTCAAGAGGTATCGTATATGCTTCTCAAGAAACTGATTGTCTCCACAGTCGAGTTTGTATAATCTTTTTATAGTTTCAAAAAATAATAGCTTTGAYGACACTACAATCTCTAAAGCACTGTCCTGTTGTTCTTTGGTGGGCATTAACAACTCCCTTCCWGTTTCTCCCATTCTTTTATTCTCATTTTCTATCCAAGACTCAAATTCAGTCAAAGCAATATGCACTAATGATTTCTTTCCAGAAAAAATATCATGATCAGCAAAYGTCATGATAAATAATAYAAAATCAAATGGGTTTTTGTTCTCATCGAARGATCTTTTCAAGGTTTCTTTTAACTCATCCAGGAGTCCTGCAGCAAAGAGATATTCAAATTCATCCAGCCAGTCTCTATCTGATAACAGTGTAGCTGGAAATCTCTTTGGTGGTTCTTCAGTATCAAATCTCTCAGTTACTTCTTCTGCTTTTTGTGATGAACMATCAACATTGTGGCTTTGTTCACACCATGTAGAACWTACTTCACTATTATCTTYATTCTTTKCAGTATTTTCTGTTTTGTGAGAAAGCTGAGCTAATTGAAGTGTATCACTTCTATTTGCTGTTCTTCGTTCAAGATTTTCAAGGAATTCCTTTGACACTGAAGGGTTTCTTTCAGAAATGACATTCAAATATTTATGTTCACATGTATTTTCTGCTTGTTCTKTGTGAACCTTGTGGCAGTCGGCAGGTGACATTGAAAAATTACAAACAACTCGTCTTTTCTTGGGTGCAGGAGACTCTGYAATATATAAAAGGACAACAAAGATGTGTTAAACAACAACAATAACAACTTTAATATGACTATTTCGTGAGCTTTTAAAGATACAAAAAGAAAGAAATATAGATGAAGAGAACAGTTTTATTGTATAATGATACACCAAAGATAATTATTTAATCATCAATTTTATAATTTTACACCTAAAGATAATTATTCCCAGATATCACTGCTGACTCGTCCCCAGTCGTTCTCTTCTATCTTGCGCGCGAAAAGCATCAAGCTTTTCGACACTAGAAAAATGGCGCGCTGGGGACGAGTTAGGATATCATTACAGGTTCTCCTCATATCACTGTGATGCAAAGATACACAGACTGTAGAAGGAATAAATAAATAAAGAAATGAATAAATTTTCCACCCAAGTACATGAAATTCTGTAGAAACCTTTTTAGGCTATGTATTGTTTTCTAGAAAGTTGGATACGAACGGGCTTCCTGTGTTGAGGCCCCTTTCAACGTCTGCATTCCGAAGACCAATGCCTTTTCATACAAACCTCACATAATAAATTTTATATTTATGTCATTTTTCCATTATAAGTGTAAATTGTAATGTGTCTATAATAAGATTTCATTTTAACAGATATGTAACTTAACTTAAACTCGACAATGACCTCGAACTAAACGTGATGTCCAAATACGACGATTTACTTGCCTTTTTTCAAATCTAACACATTATTCTCTTCCTTGMTTTCGTGCTCAATACTYTTGGATGTTATTGCTTTCAAAAAATCCCTGACTGTACAGAATATCAGCTGCATTACGACGATCATCTTCAACAACTTCGACAATCCGTCAAACTTTGCGCACGTTTTACAAACTCTTCACCAGTGCACCGCCGTTCACTTTGAGTAACGCAGTACGACAGAGTAACGCAAGCATTTGTGTGACCATGTGGGCTTTGTTTACATTGAGATGGATAAAAATTAAAGAAAAAATGGTAAGAAAAAAGAGGAAACATATATGAAAGATTTTTGAATTTATTTTTAAATTGTAATATTATAATTCAATCATTAAATGTTTCAATAATTTTTGCCTAAATATTTCACATTTCTCCACCACTTTATAATAACACAAGCTATTTCTCTTTCTAACAGCCCATGTGTTCCCAGTAGACTGCAACATTTTCACTTTACAACGTTTTCACTTTCCTCCACAATTACACAGGAAACCCAAGGAATCACACATAGCAATGACTGCAACTACTTGGTACAAACCTGGTACTAAAATAATATTAAATAGTTCAAAATTTTGCAGTTYTACTGAGAACCCTAATAATTATTGATAATTATATTATTCAAGGAGTTCAGGCTGTGATTTCAACCTWGCTACAACATGCTGTGGTAAGCAGTAGACAGGGTTGATTTGYTTGACTTTATCAGAACCCAAAAGAGATAGTCCTGCAAGCCCAAATAAGGTATGGTATGGATCAACCTGAAAAAAGGATGTGGGAAATAATATAAATAGAATTGTCTGGATTAATTCACANATGTTTGTTTTTTCACCTCTATCTCTCCTTGGACACAGTTGCTACCCTTTTTTTTCTTTTTTCCCCTTCATCAAACGTGCGTTGGAAACATCGAAAGTAGCGACTGCCCGAAGAGTATAAAATACTGAGAAATTACTCGGTGTAATTTCAACAATAACTTTACCTGTTTGCTGAGAGGACAGACATCTACGAAACGCTTGACGTTAGTTAGAGCGTCTTTCCATTGTGGGCATGACGTCATCATGATTTGAAAGTCGCCCTCGCAACTGTATCCTATGGTACCAAAAACAGACAMTTGCAGACTATTTGTAGAGTGACAGATCATTCAGCMTGAGGTCAGGGTATGAGGGCARTTTTAATTTTCAGCCGTTGGAATTTCATACGCGCCCCAATAGGCAATGTGCAGCGACGCCATTTTTTACTTTTTTGGCCCCTGAAAAATCTCGCTAAAAACCGTTTTTGTATTTTCTTTATAGAAACGGCACACTTCTATTTATGCAAAGAAAAAGCAAAAACGACTTAAGACGGCTGGTTTGACGCACTTGAAAATGTGCGTTGAGTAAAACTCCCATCATGCTTTGTTTCAAAAAAATCGGGGATCTAGGGGGGTGGGGGGGAGGGTTCCACATAGTTAAAGACGTTACAAGTGATTGTAATACAGCCTTTGACATTTGTCATACCTAGCTTCAAAACAGTTGGATTGGAGAAAACTTCTTTTCCAAATTTTTGAAGCAAATCATCGTCAACGTTGTCGAGAATGGCAATCATGTCCAGGATGAAGACTTCTGTTCTAGTCGCAAGTTGAATTGTTGCCAATCTATGGCGAAACATGTCAAGGTCAATAAATACAACATTAAATTCTTTGTTGAAAGCGGGATTAAAAAATGTTAAAAAAAAACCACTTTTGAAATTTGAAGGAATCGTAGGAATCCTTTCAGTTGTTAGTTCCTTTTGCAACCGTTTGGTCCCAGGTTCGGTCCCAGTGACCTCCTCGCCGTTTGTGAAGAGGGGCCTGGGTCCCAAACTAATTACACTTAAGCTGAATACGTTATCGGTAATTAAATGACGTCATGGAGTCGACATTTGGAACATATTACACTGATAGCATATATTATGTTGAGACACGAATAAACACGTGATGGAATGTGATATCGGGTCAGTTCTATAGCGTTACTTTTCCTGTTTGCTTTTCTACCGTTCAAATTATATTACAATGGCAGTTAAAATCGTTCATTCGTGCTTGGTTTCCAAGATTGCCATCACTCTATCAGTCGTCAGTTTGTTGTTGTGCTGTGGTGTGTTTTTAAGAACAGAATTGATGCTAAACGAGCTGTATTCAAGAGATATCAAGCTGCCAGAAAAGATGACTTCAAAACACGAAATGAACGATAGACATAGACCAGACAAAGATCAACTTTCAAAACGATCAGTCATGAAACAAGAAGTAAAACGAAATGAATATGTTCTAAGAAGAAAAATAAGACAAGTTACAAATGGATTAAACAACACCGTTGAGCTACTGACTGATTTATTATCAAAGAAAATTGACCAAAAGGTCGGTAAAGCAGTAGCCAACTTACAAGCTGCCAAATACTGGATTCCCATTCCAGGACCTCCCGGTCCACAAGGAAAACCTGGCCCAAGAGGACTGAGAGGACGCATGGGTAAAACTGGACGTCGAGGAAAACAAGGACCGCGTGGTTTTCCTGGAAAAATCGGACTTCCTGGTTCCAGAGGAATGCCTGGACCTATGGGACCGAAGGGACAAAAAGGAGATGCTGGCCCTTCCTTAGAACGTCCAAGCGTTATCATTTCACCAACATATGCCATCGTCAATGAAAGCCAGTCCGCCATCTTACATTGTTCCTCTAGTGGTTATCCTCGACCTGATGTTGTGTGGAGTAAAAACAACGGTACATTACCACACAAACGAGCAGTAGTTGATAGCACTGGCAAACTTGATATCAAACACGTGACAACCAATGACTCAGGAATCTATCAGTGTAAGGCTTCTAATCTTCTTGGCAGCACACA